GAGATTATTAGATACGAAAGATTAAATATAAAGTTGATTATAGAATAGAGTCATAAAGCAAAAGTAAATAAGTTTTGGTAAAGAAAAATAAAATAAAATGACACTAATCTAAACTGATTGGTGAGGTAAATAAAAATATAAGAGCTATATAATGATTATATACAAGATATTAAAATGAAAAAAAAATGTTCATCGAGAAAGAAGAGCAAGTAAGATTATAAATAGAAATTATATATTGGGACAGAATGTAAAGTTGTAGGCCAAATGAATGTTCCTGTTTTTTTTAGGATGGGTAGAAAGAGCTTTAAATTGTCCTCGATTGATATCTTTGGTCTTGTTGGCCTAAGTTTTTCTAACTTATCGAATTTGTTTTAAGTTTGGTGCGACTCGTGGATCACATTGTTTCTAACTGTGAAACTCACTGAGTCCTAATGTTGTCGTTTTTTTTAAACTTATGTGGGTGTGTGTGATTTTTGTAGGTAAAGTGTTGTCTTTGGCACGCACTAATATTTAATTTAATAGGTGGCGAAAGTTCATTAGATAACACGGGGTGGCGACGGATGTAACAAGATGTCGGCTGTTTGTTTGCTCGGGGGGGGGCGAGGGGGAGCGAAGCTATTTTTAATACGATTCCGGATGTAGGTCAGGGAGGCCTTTTGCGAGGCTGCTTGCTTTCTTTCAACTTATTGGAAGTTAATTCGAACTACGTTCGGAGATATTATTTCTAAAATTGTAAACACAAAAGCGTTTTGATTTGTCACGTTTGGTGACAAGCGTTATGGGATTGATATAGGGAGATACAGAGGTTGTAATTATTCCGTGTGTTCAATCATTTGTTAGATTTGTGTTTGTATTTCGAGAATTCGGATATTGTATCTGTTGATATTAAATCGATTGGTTGTTGTGTTTCGATATTTTGCGGACTTAGTAAAAATGTTATTCATGGATATCGGGTTAGAATTGAATGAAATTGCGACTATCTACGTGGACAATGTGTGATTAAAGGTGTCACAGGCGTGATGAAGGCGTCTTTGGCCTGAAAATTGAAAGAGTTTAGTGGTGTGGCGCTGTGACACGAAGCGAAAAAATTGTAAATGAAAAGGTGTCGCGTGAAGTCTCTGTTTTGTACAAAATCTAACCTGTTACACTAAGAATAACAAATTTACTAAAGTCATGGTTGTTGGTTGTACGAACATATCGATAATTTTTATATTGTTAGTGGATATGACACGTTTAATGTGATTTTTTTTTTTTGTGTGTGTTTAGTAGGGCGACGTAATAAAGCTTGTGTGGCTCGAAATTAGATTTGGGTGTGAAGTCGCGCATTAAAATTTTGTTAATTAGAAAAAGTTATGTGAGAGGGTGTTGTATATTTTGTTGAGAGAGATTTGTCGATATTTAACTATGCGTGTAAAAGGAAGGTACGAGGGAGTGTAGTTATGTGGGAATTTAACGATTGGAATAGTTTTGGAAGGCTGTGATTTAAGTTACTTCTGTCCAAAGATATGAAAGAAAAGGACATAGGGGCGTTGAAAATGGGATTAGGAACATTATAATGAGATTAAATAAGAGTGTTGGAGTTCACCACGTGTGAGCAACCTGTTACAGGAGGGGAAAATTTAGTAAATGAGACAGTTGTATTAACCTGTCCATGGGACACGCGTTGCTTGCACGAGGTGAATTTGTACAAGGTAGTTGGTAGGGATACATTATCTTGATACAGGAGTAGCTGAGGACAGTTTATAATTAGTAGAAATCGTTTTATGGAATTAAGGAATAATATGATAAAAGGCAAGGGGGTATCTATAATATGGAATTTTAGATTCTGCGTTATGTTAACTATTTTTACGTTTAAAAAGATATAACCTATGGTGAAAACATTGTTAGATATGGCGTTAATAGTTAAGTTAAATGGATGGACAGGTATTTTTCTTTTACAAACTGATTTCTATTATTGTAAAGTATTCTGCCTAATTATAGCGATAGATGCTTCTGTATCAAGTAGTAGAGTAGGTTTACATTATTGGACAGTGTGTTCAGCTCGAACGAGCAATAGTTCAACAAAAGTTATGTATGGAGGAACCTACTGTTGTGCTGTCTTGTATGTCGGGACAGTCCTGGTCTTGTGCCATAGTTGGAGGATCTTTGGGACAGTCAGAGTTCATTGTTTGCGCTGGGCTCGTGGTTTAGAGATGGTCGGGGGAGCAGGTAACATACGCTCGCGTGTTGGTAACTCGGAAGGGTGCGGGAGAGGACAACACAGTTCTGTCGTGCTGCGGATAAGTTGTGGCTCGGTACACAGGTCTTGGACGTCTCTGTGCAGGCCGTTTGGGGCACTGGGCGTGCCAGTGCATGGCGCCACAATACCTGCAGGATGAAGGGGGTGGATTGGCAGAGTAGTTGGGTCGCGCTGACCATGGTCGCGGAGCACTGTACCTCGGTGACGGTGCGAAGGAAGGGTTGGGCGTTGTTCTGGTCGTCTGTTGGCACACTTGCGACGCACTGTGGGTTCCTCTTACGCGCGATACTACACTATACCACGCTTGGAGGGTGTTCGGTTGCACGGCAGCGACAATGCGCTGATCAGCGACGGGTAACCCATCAGTCAGGGATTCTAAAAGGATTTTGTGGGGAAGGTTCAGCTGTAGGCCACACACCGTCTTTTTTTGATAATATTCCTCTAACGAGGAGCGATCTGTCAACTTAATGGCCAAGAATTGGGCAAATGACGCGTTTGTGGTTTCAGGAAAGAGGTCTATCAGGGCTTGCCTTGCGTCAACGTAATATAATTTGTCTAATTTTAGGCTGCGGAAGTAGTGCAGGGCCTTACCTTGTAGGAGGTTGGGAAGCCTTCTCAGTCGGTCGGTGTAGTGTAGTTGGGCCAGATCAGCTTGGGCGTCGTAGTTGTCGAAGAAGCTCTGCGCCTCGTACGAACCATCGTAACGCGATAGCTCCACATCTCGCGAGAGTCCTGTCGCCGAGGAGAGCTGATATATCGTCCTGGCTAAACTCCCCAGGACATCTGACACCGGCGGCGGGGGTGTGACGTCTTCCTGGCCGGGGGGAACTTCCTGCGTCCTACCGAGAGTGTTTTCTTTCTTCGGAAAAGTGGGGCTTCCGCCACTTTCGGAGTCGGGATCGGACTCCATTGGTTCCTTTGGATTCTCCTCTCTTCCCTGTTCCATCTTTCTGTACAGACAGTGGTCTATTTGCTTACTTGTACCTTGGCGTCCACTATCCTGTCGACTCTTCGTTACGGGGGAGTCTGTGATATCTTGGGACCTCTGGGACCAGTGTTACCTGATGCTAGACGAACCTCGATGTCAACTCTACCGTGCAGTCGTGGTGGAAGGCGACACAGCTGGGCCAAAGGTGAAATAAACAAACAGAGATTCCACTAAGAAGCGTCTGACGTCAAGAAGGAATGGGATGAGGAGAGAGAGAGAGATCTTAAGAGCAAGTGTTACCGTTGGAATCCAAGCGAAGACTGGCAATTCTAGGGCCTCGATTTAACACCACGACCTTGCTGCTTTCTAATTGGCTGACCTATTTAGGTGATTCTTTCCTAATTGATGGGACTTTTTCACGTGGTAGTGGGCTATTGGTTGACCTACTTAGGTATTGTCTTCTGATTGGGCCGGGCTTATCTCTTTGACGGAAGAAATACGTCCGGTCTTGTTCCGGAAATTGGGCGTCTCTCAAACTTTTATAACTTCTGGTCACAAGATACGTCCTGTCTTGTCCGGAAATATTGGTTTAAACTTAGCTCGCAGGGTGTCCGGGGTCAGAAGGTTAACTGTGGCGTTATTAATAATTATGTTCTCTTCTAGGCCTACCTCTTAGGTTTGACTTCTACGATCCTCTAAGCCTGATTTGTTTTAACCTTAACTTTCTCCTGTCTCTCTCCATTCCTTCTATCTGTACAGTTGCAATACTTTATTAGATTCTTACGCGGTACAGATTGATGTTAGCTGAGGCTTTCTATGTGCAGTACATAAGAAGTTATATACAGTCATGGGGTGGAACATGTGGTAGTGGATATTTAGACTATTTACAACAATTCCATGGTCTTAAATCATCACATGTATATATTATTCTCTTTACATATATAATCTGCACTCACACATGGCTAAAACTTAAAGAATTGTCGCCGGTCGTCCTTTTTTTTTTTTAGGAAAAAGATGCACTTTTATTTACACTTGCTTATCTCTTGTGTCTTCAATAAAGGTCACTGTGTATCAAATATCTTTCAGAGTTATTGTCTGAATCCCGACATATATGCTAAAAGGTACAACTTCCTTAAGTTTTGTCCATGAGTGCATATCCAAAAATCTGATAGAACTGGGGGGGAAAAACGCAATAAAGTTATAAAACTTTATTTTTATTTGACACCATTCAACAAAGAGAGAAAATTACCAATTTTATAAAATATTTACTTAAATATTCATTAACTAATTATGATAATAGATTTCGAGATTTGAGCAGGAGGAGAATATTGGTCCAAATAAAAAAAGCCACTTCCATCAAAATAGTCGCAAAAATAAGTGGTGCATAGTTTCGCATTTATTTTAATAGGAGAAACGATGTTCTCGTTTCGTTTTTAGATAATTGTAAGAAGAGTTAAATAAATTAAAATTAATAAATGCTAATGATTGTTTTTTTTCGAATTACCACGTCTTGAAAAAATATATAACCGATTCTTTAAGAGTTTCTAGCTTTGGTGTGTTTTCAAGAAACATTAAAGTAAATAATATACAAAAACGTCTTCCGAGAATGAGATTCTTGTTTTTTATCTCTGGAAGCCGTTTGGTTTATTATTTATTTATATGTTACAGAAGATTTTTACATTTTGAATACATTAAAAGTCAATGCCAATTTTAGAGAGAGAGATAGATAGAAAATATGGTTTTACGGGTTATTAACCAAAGTTTATGATTTTCGAGCCCAGACAGATATTACATCGGCCGGGAATCGAACCCGGACCACTCACATAGGTATTATGCCTACAGCACCCGGTGTTCCCAGGTGGTCACCCTCCCAAGTACTGACCGGGGCCCGACATTGCTTAACTTCGGTGATCGAACGAGAACCAACGAATTTTGGATGACGTTTTTGTACGAGAATCTTAGGTCATTCAGAATCAAATAAAATCTCATTCCACACAATTCTAACAACAAAGTCTCCTGATACATTCCCTATAATGGGGTCTCAACATCGGAGCAAAGACGGAAATAATTGGTCGTTAAGAATCCACACAGATGTGCCATTTCGCGCGTAGTCCAATCAATCTTTTAAAATTGGTTGACATATGAGGACAGAAAGAAAGTGATTTCAGATGTGTCACGAGCAACCTTGATGCAATCTCTTTCCAAAGCCATCTCTATGCAAATTTGGGAAAGATCAATATAGCGTTATCGCTATTTCGATGTCACCGTTTGAAACAGGAAGGTGTCAATTAATTCAGACTACAAGAACACAGAACTTTTTTTGAATATCCAAATAACTTGCTAAAATAAGATATCTATATCTTATAATCCTTATATAAAGAGTCGTCTGTAATTAAAGAACAGCTTGCACGGAATCTATAGACAGACTTATTAATTAATAAAGATTCTTCCCTGCTTTTACACTTTGACAAAATCAATAAGGAATCTAGGGTTTGGTTTCTTTCTCATTTCTTTTATTCATCGAGCTTTCGGGCTAAAATACCCTTCAACACGGATACCCAGAAGTGCTACTTCTTTAGTAGATCTAATAGCAAAGATTTCAGACAGTCACTCTCCTAGGAATTCCAAATAGAATCCTGGCATCGTTTGATAATTGAAGTATTTATGGATTGCTCAACCAGGAACCTCAGATTTGCGGTCATTCCAAGCCTTGGATCTCCATGTCACCAAACATGGGTTCCATTCAACAACCATCCTAACTGGCTATGACTATGTACAAGCATACTACGTGAAAATTTTGAGGGGATCTGATTTGCCCTATTGTTAGGATGAAGACCAACAGTAGATCAACGCCTCAGCTTTCTAATAGCAAAGATTTCAGACGGTCACTCTCCTAGGAATTCTCGATAACAACTTGGCATCTCTTGATAATCTTCCTAGAAATGAATATGCTTGGAGCCATTTTATATACTGTACTTACACGGCCATTGTAAAAATATACAAAAAGACTTAAATATGAAGGACAACCTGGGTAGTTAGCGACATCTTTTGTACACCCTCTCTCTCCGCGCACACACAGTAACCTCTGAGTAAATTTATATATGATGTAAAATATGTTTTTTTTATATATTATCATAGTGTGTGAATGTTTCACCTAATACATTAGGTTTATTATTGATGTTTTTATTCAAATATTTTGTTTAGATTTTGTATATATGTTTATATATAACGCTTGATTCTAAAGTTTTGTAAATATAGAAGTCATTTTGGTGATTATAAATTTGTAAACTCAAAAATTCATGCGACTAAATATATTTATAATAAAAAAATGAATATATCAGTTTTTTTTTTTTTTTACATTGAACAATTCTATATACAGTTATCAGCGTCATGCGTTCTGTCACCGTTTGCTGCGCCACCACGTGGCGCGACGGTGACCTTGAGTGACGTAATGACAGGGTAGGAACAAGAAATAACTTGCTATCATTATCATATCATTTTATGTATATATCAGATTTAAAATATATTCATACAAAAAATCTAAATAATACAATTTTCAAATATCGTTGTGAAAATTTACATTTTTATTTTTGTATTTTAAAAACACACAAAGATTGAAGCGGGATGTTTCAAAAGAGTGCCATCCACGACGCCAATTTATAATTGTAAAGAATAGTATTTTAATAAAACATTTAATCGGGTAAAACCCGGGCGTTGCCCGGGTCATTCGGCTAGTTATATATATATCTGAAAATAATAGCGGCGGGGAGCAACCATCAAGAATTTCGAACTCAATTTGATTTAATATGAAGCAACCGTTAGCTAGTTTTTGTTTCAACCAATATTTTACATTTTCACTCAATATATGATGATCATCCCCCACCGCTTTTATTTTGACTCATCTAAATCTATTTGTTCGAAGGCGGTAGATGAAATATTTATGTTTGCCTTTTTTCAGTGCATTTTAAATAAAACTAGCAAATTTAGCGCGCCTTACGTCGCTCTAATAAAAGAAATTAAAGCACATACAATCCTGCCTATAAGTCAAAAACAATTGAGCTATATATTAATTAATATTAATTAATATAATAAAGAGAAACGGTCATTCTTTTTTCTTTATATATATAGGTTTTGCAACTTTAAGACATTTATAAGAGACAACAATAAAAAAAACAATAATATAAGACAGCACAATTTAATTTTTTACTTTAACAACATTTTCATTTTTAGATTTTCTTTGAAACTCTAACATCAATATGTTTTCGTTATTGAAAAACCTTAATTGGAAATAACATTATTTTAGAGTACTGTTTTAGTTTTGTTAAGGTCCTTTTAATTTAATTTAAAAAGCACCTTTTTGATAACATTCTAATATTTTAATATATTGCATTTATAATTATATTATATAATTATATTATTCTTACTATTTTATTTAGTGTGTACTCTCAGTTGTACTCTCACGGCATAATATCAACATTTTATAGTATAGTGTAAAAATGTATAGTGTAAAAATGCAAAAAAAAACGTTACACTATAATATAACACTATATACACTATAATATAACAATGTGACATAGATCAATTTTCGATATATATTGAAATTTTATTCTATTTTATTTTGAGCGTCTATTTTGAATATTCACTAAATATCAAAATGAATATTAACTAAATATCGAATAAAGAAGTTTGTAAAAATTAATATTTAATACGCATAGGCATATTTAATATAAGCAATATTAAAATAGACAATTTCTGGCGTAATTAAATAATTAATTAAATAATGGCGTAATTAAATTAAATAAAATAGAATATGAAGAGAGTAGTTAGGGAACAAACATACATACAGACAAACAGACATTTTTTGTGCATTGATAATTAGATTATAGATATGATAATTAGATAATCTTAAAATATAAAAAATATGAAAAATGACCTTAACAAAATAAAAACGGTGCTAAAATGAACAAATTTATTTGTAAATAAAAGTGTTGCAAAAGTGTTGAAAGTGTTGAAAAAGAAAAAAAAGTTAAAAATGAAAAATGTTAAAAATGTTAAAAGTGTAAAATGATTTACTAAAATGTCGTCGTTAAAAGTACGCATTTAAATATTTAGACTATAAAAATTAGAAAAGAGAAGGCAAGTATGAAAAGTATTTAAAGTGTAAATTATGAATATTATCAAATATGTGGCTGATGTGGCTATTTATATATATAAAAAAAAACATACATACAGACAAAAATAAATTTTTTGATTATTAGATATTATAGATATGAAAAATGACCTTAACAAAATAAAAACGGTGCTAAAATGAACAAATTTATTTGTAAATAAAAGTGTTGCAAAAGTGTTGAAAGTGTTGAAAAAGAAAAAAAAGTTAAAAATGAAAAATGTTAAAATGATTTACTAAAATGAAAAAATGTCGTCGTTAAATATTTAGACTATAAATGAATATTATCAATATTATCAAATATTATATTTTAAATATTTTATTTAAATTACGAATATTTATATATCAAATTATTTCGTTTTATTTCAATCAATGGCCGAGCGTGTCGCTAACGTCGAGCTTAACGTCGAGCTAAATGCGTATTTTTGCTAACTGCGTTATTTTTAAAAGTTTAAATATAATTTTGAAGTTACCTGAATAATTCCGGGACTAAATGTAATATGTATACGAAATATTGTCGTATAAAATAAAATATTAAGAGAGGAGTTAGGGAACAAACAAACAAACATCCAGTTTTTGCGCTTTAATAATAAGATATTTTAAAAGGGTATTTTACATTTGTTAATTAAAAAATTAGATTCCTTTTTTTCACGCATGACTGCCAACCTCTCGCAAACCTCCCTAGAAATCTTATACTAGAGAGAGCCTTGGGGCACATGGAACATTTCAAGAATAATTAAACCTCAACATGGGTCGATGTAATGAAATCGGACTATTCTTACACCGCTAAAACTTACCATTACAGAATAAGATCAAGAGTCAGACCCCTATAATACAATATTATTTTTAAATAACTTAGCATCAAAATGATTTCTGATCTTAAAACACAAAATATACCAATGTCTCAAGATTCTTACATAAAAGGCTTCAGATGTTAAAGTAGATTGATAAAGCCTCAATAGTCTCATTCTGACAAGAGAGTCAATTGAAGAGCCAACTCGAGGTTGGTGACTGACCAGGCAATTTAAAGGTCAAATGGCCAGCTGATTGATTCCGGATGGCCTGGAGTGGATTGACACAGTGGCTTAGGATGCCTCATTCTGGCTGACCTGGGCAGAGGAGATCGCTCTTGTCTTGGAACAAGAATCCCACCTTCTTGTTCGGCGGTACAACTACTAAAATAGTAAATATACAGAGAAGATTAGCAGGGCCCCTGCAATACTTGTTCGGCGGTACGAATATAAAATAGGAACGACACAGAGAAGATTAGAATGTCCCCTGCAATACTTGTTCGGCGGTACAACTATTAAAATAAGAACGACACAGAGAAAGATTAGCATGGCCCCTGCGATATTTGTTCGGCGGTACGAATATAAAATAGGAACGACACAGAGAAGATTAGAATGTCCCCTGCAATACTTGTTCGGCGGTACAACTATTAAAATAAGAACGACACAGAGAAAGATTAGCATGGCCCCTGCGATATTTGTTCGGCGGTACAACTCCTACAATAGGAAATATACAGTGAAAGATTAGCATGGCCCCTGCGATACTTGTTCGGCGGTACAACTACTGAAATAGGAAATATACAGCGAAAGAATAGCATGGGCCCTGCGATACTTGTTCGGCGGTACAACTACTGAAATAGGAAATATACAGCGAAAGAATAGCATGGGCCCTGCGATACTTGTTCGGCGGTACAACTACTGAAATAGGAAATATACAGCGAAAGAATAGCATGGGCCCTGCGATACTTGTTCGGCGGTACAACTGCTGAAATAG